TATCAACTTTTAATTTTCAAATGGTAACCTATACTTAAAATTTCGAATTTAGCGCTAGTAGTTTATGAGTTATAGGTATTTAAAGTTTAGATTGGCAGAGTGGAGTGGTACGGGGTTMCCCCGCAAAATGTTTGTCCACTACTCCGCTTGTCTAAACTTAAAATGTAATACGAGCGTGTGTGTGATTTTATTTTTTTGTCCTCACAGCAACTCTATTTGGCCACCGGCAACGCTCTCAGTTATCAAGACGACGCCTGCAGCGATGACGCGTCACAGAGGGCTGTCGTTCTGGACAACGGCGGCGGAAGCGGCTTGATCACCAGTCAGGAACAATTGTGCGTCGTGTGTCAGTTCTACCCGCTGTCCAGAGCCCTGTTGCCGTGCCGTCACACGTGCATATGCGCATCGTGCTTCGGCAAGCTGGAGACGTGCCCGATGTGCCGCAGTCCGATCAAGAGCTACTTCTGCGTGCGCAACGAAGATTATTTGGCCGACTGCGCATCCGGCCTAGACAAGACGGGAGCGTCGACCAAGCGACAGGCGTTTTCCCAGTGGATTCAAAATGGTATTACGGAATTCCTCGGCCTACATTAGGCCTCCAAACCCACCCACACCCCGCCAACCMTCTCCTCCTACCACTGAGCCCGCCATCATCGCCTCCACAAGTCCCGCATTTTTCCTCCCGCTCGGTCCCCATCATCATGCTCTTCTTCTCTTTATTTCTCTTAACTCAAATCAGCCGTTTACCTTAAGCAAAAAATATCGTATACGTTTTTACACATATACCTACACGGTGTAAACAGACAAACTCACAAACACATCAATCGGTTTATAACAATTCCTCCACTCTCCCACCCATTTATTCAATGCAAATTATTCGATATAAAAGTGAATATAACATATACTTCAAACTTATGAATTTATAGCGTTTGGCATATTCACCTTGAATATCATATATTTTGTTTTTCGTCCCCTCATCATGTCCCTCCTATTTTATTTATTAAGATATTGTGCACAAATATTATTATATTTATAATGCTACATAAATCGGTCTGACAATGAGGTATAACTACCAAAAACACGCTTACCATTGTTGTGTGTAATGTCTGCATACGGAAAAGAGATGTTGACCTATTCACATTTAGCAGGGGTGTTGGTGGTGTGAAATAATAATCTATTTTACGAACAAAAAGAATTGTGTATAGAGACGCTAGTCGATCAAGTTCTTTTTATTTCCAGAATCACGAAACGAACGAATATAATAATATTTTCTATTTTATGAATTTATCACAATTGTTTCTCCCCTCCCCCCCTATATAACATATCTTTTGTTATAGACTTATTTATCACAGAAAAGTTCCTTATACATAATATGTGTTATACTATATAATATTCATAAATATTTTACTCTCTCGAAAAAAACCATACGTACAACACTTAACTGTTTTAATTTCAAAAGTGCACGAACATAAATTTAAAATATATTAAATAAAAATAATCTTCCATGATGTAATTGTTGGACGTGCTATCGCTCTGCATTTATAAACGCTATTTTTATTATCTTCCGTGTGCATAATGTAATATTATAATGGTTTATTATTTATACATGAAATCATCATTATTATTATTAATATTATATTATTTTTATTTTTATTATTATTATGATTATTATTATTTCATATTTATGTGTGTATATTTTGTCCGGTAACTTGCCTGTCTCTTCAAAAGAAAAATCATCGGATTTAATATTTTGAAGAGGCTTAGCTTGAAGCCGAGCAATTTTATTATTATCATTTTATACATTATTTTTCATTTGTATTTTTTCCTTTCGTTTTATATTATCCCCTTAAATCTTGTATTTATCGATTTCCCATTGAAGTATTGCATAATATGGTCAAAAAAAGTGTATGTGGCATTRATAATATGCCGTTATATTATTTTTATATTGTATTTGTATAATTGTAATGATAAAATTATATAAATGTATGACAAAATATATAATTTATGCATGCTACATGCGTTTATAAAATGTTTATACATACGAATTCTTATGTAGTTAAGAAATGTTACTCGGCCCTCATACTCTCTTTTACAGACCTAAAAATATTGAAACAAATGTTTATTTTTTATAACACTGATCATAATWTTATTGAGAGATCCGATATACHTATATAAGAAACGCACATATTATATATAATATTATTACGATACATTGAATACTCTTAGTTGTATTTGTTGATCTACAAAACTGTAATTTAATTTTAGTTATACCGTTGAATTTATATAAATAGTTTAAGGTATATTAATGTTAAGAAATTTGCAGTGTTTCCCTTTTAAAATGAAGAGAGACTGTTCAGATTTTATGATAACTTAGTTATTACCTAATTTGTTTATGGTTAATATATTCACTCGGTTGGGCTAAGATGGCAATGAACTAAAGTGTTTTGTCGTGAAACATCACTAACATAATTCTAATTATTATGGTTTTTTTTTTTTGTATGCCCAAAATATTGAATGTGTGATTGTGATTAAATAAAAATGATTCAAATAACTTTTTTCAACAAAACGTTGTTTTTTATACGTATATACATATACATGCGTCATGCACTTATTGTCGTTCCTCTGTGCCTATGTGGGCTGATGGGACGCTCAATACAACAACAATAATAGTACCTATATTGTATTACAATTACATCAGCAACAATATCATATATATATTTATTATATTATAATGCATATTATTATTATATTATTATCATTATCGTATATTTACAAGTTCTAGACATCATAATATCATATTATAGGCACATACTTATATACTCCRTGGAGCTCTGTTATACTGCCTAACCTAACCTCAGTGTATTATTTTATCAGTATGTAGTAAGTGTATAATACATAATATTATAATATTATTGCATATTGCAGTGACGGAGTGCAGCAATTTGCAGTTCTATGCGACGTTTTAATTACCGTGTATTTCGTTTCCTCATTTATGTAATATAGGTACGTAATATGCAGATATATATATATATGCATATTGCATACTATTAAATAGCTGGTGCCTGGTATGTTTACCCACCATAAAAAATGTACAGTGAATAATATTCCTACAATGTCACTACACATAATATGAACGCGATGCATACCTCCAATATGCGTGTTCCCGTACTCGTATTAATTTTAATAACCGTCGCTCTCTATGGTAATACCAATTATTATTATTATGTTTACAGCTACGCAACGGACAATATAATATTATACTTATATACGACGACCTACACCATTTCAAACCCGTAACCCCCCCCCCCTTCCCCCGTACGGTGGCACATGACGTTGGGAGCCAGTGGCGCCAAACCTATATTATACCTACGTAATAATAACACTATGTACACGAACCGGAGCGATCGTTTCGTACAACAATATTTCGGTGTATTTCTCCGCTTTCCTATGCGAAAGGTGTATAGGTAGGTACCTATAATAATATTAAACTAATATGTGTCGATGATAAACGTCTTTACGAAATATTCGTACGGCGCCACTGTTCGTGTATGCACCGCGGATTGTGTGTATTGGAGGTGTATATTACTGCTGTAAATTGTAGAGTATGTTACGAGGACAGTGGTGTAGACAGTGGGGGTTTTGGTTGTTTAAACCCCCTTTCCCCCATTGCCTTTCCTCATCTAATAAATTTATTATTTATATTATTGACTATTGTATATTTCATTAATTCTAGTACCTAATATCTATAAAAAATATATGACATAAGAGTATAAGACGTTTCTGAATATTCCGAGAACTCGTCCAGAACAGGGACGGCGCGAGGGGGGTGGCAATCGGGGCAGTTGCCCCTGGCCCGTCGATTTTAAAATTATAATCAAGGCCCCGCAGTTCTTAAATGATATTTTATATACTGTTCAGAGATTAGTTAGTTTGGATAATATGTAATGTGACTGTTATTTATTTTGCCCGGGGCCCCGCAAATCCTAGCGCCGTTCCTCGTCCAGAAACCTAGCTGATTGATAATAATTATAATAATGATATATTTTTAATAATACTATCTGCACGGGATTTCAACAACACTGTGTGGATATGACCACGACTAAAGATATTATTTATGGTTGTGAATTATGAMAATATTTGATAAAACTGTTTGTTTATAATTTATATCACGATATTCAAAAGTGAGACTATTATTATCTATTATTTTTGGTTGTGTGATACTATGATAAATTAAATAAAAAAAAAAAACTAAATTGCTTCAAATCTTATAGCAACCCTTCCAGTTACTACTACCAGTAGTGAAAGGTCTTCTCCATTGAAACGATTGAAGACTTATTTGCGGAACACGACTTGCGAAAATAGATTAAATGATTTGGCACTTTTGAATATTTATAGAGAAATAATATTACAGCCGGAAAACGTTTTGAATAAATTAGCCATAAAAACAAGAAGAATACGTTTGATGTAGATAAATAGTAAATATTATACCTAGTTATGTTCATAATATTATTATAGGATTTTATTTATTATGTATAATTTTATRGCCTATACAAATAAAATTGTATTAATTTTCATATTGAGGTGTTTATGATAAGTATATAATTATAAAATATTGTAGAATATAGTAACTCATTAGTGGTTGTTTTCTTTAGTTAGGTTATTGATAAATAATCATAATATTATAACATACGTATTAAAAAATATTTCAATGTTTCACATTTCTGTGAAATATTACATCACATAATGAAATTTATCTTAAAATGAAATATTTCATACTTCAAACATTAATACAATTATTAGTGACACACGTATACAAGCTTCGAAACTAATCAAAGACAAAAGTAAAATAACATACAGGGCCGGATTTAGATACGATCGAGGTGGGCGACGGCACAGGGGTGCCAAAATCAAGTGCGCGCGGTTGCCTATTTATATATTTAAAAACAGGGCGAAAGGCGCCGAAATAATACTTGCACTTGGCGCTGAAAAAGCTAGAGCCGGCCCTGATAATATTAATTACTTACAAAAAAAATTTACTTTGGTCATTTATTGGTGGAAAATTATCATTAATTATTTAATGAAAATCAACCATATCATATCAATATCAAAAATGTTACAATTATTATCACAAATCACGGATATGGGTACTATAATCTATGTTATGAACTTATTACGGTTGAGTACCTATCGCAAAATTCAATCTAAACATTCTAAACCTATCAGCTCCAGTGTTACATAAAAAAAAGTTTATGGTAGATTTTATAAAATAGAGTGTTGTTTTTTTACTTACCTTATACGGCTATAATGCTATATCAGTTTAGTTTAATATACTAAATTTTATTTAAATAAAAAATAATTCTACTATATCAGATTATATCGATCGTTTTATTACAATAATAGTTACCATTTTAGCAAATAGATCGGAATTGTGTAATAAAAAGTAAATTAAACTCCATCTATAATGCAAATACGTAATTATGTTTAATAATCTGGAGGCGGACTAGCTATATTAATTAACACAGCATATAAGCGGGGATATACCTCACCGTAGGTCAGGTAAGAGATGTATTTTGTTTTTGAGAGTGGGACTAAGACTCCAAATCCCTCCTCATAATATATCATAGAAAAAATTACGAATACATAACTGGCACTATAGTATATAATATGTCATAAATTATGACTCATAAGTCATAATAATCACAATAACTAAAATCATGAATCGTAGACGTAGGTCTAACTGCCTAAGTATGTATATTATGTARCTCATCGAAGCGCTTTGCAAAAATGGTGTGCTTATATTATTCTACTTCAAGTTTTAACGCAGAAAAGAGGCAAATGGAACGCGGCAAGAAGATTTCAAAGATAACTCTTATTACTGCAGTGATTGAAGTGTAAATAATTTCCATAGGATGGAATTGGAATGCTTGCAGAACCTCTAAATATTCCATTACCTCCACCCCCCTGCTAAAAAAAAAATCTTTTTAGTTGTGTGAGATCGAAGCTCCCAACGTTCATATTGCTATTAAAAAGGTTAGCCCCTGAAATTTAATAAATTTCTTATGATCATTACACATTTAAACGATTTATAGGTCGGAACCCGCCCGTAATCATATGTTATGACTAAAACAAGCCAAGGGACTATTATCGCATTGAAAATCTTCAAAATATGCATTCAAAAATGTAGCATTATTGCATCTCATCAAATATTTAATCATAATTATAGATTAACATGCATAAAAAATATGTAAGGCTACATAGTGTATATTATGTATTTATATATACAATTATAAAATTGAAATTGTAAAAATAAATACCCATACAAAAAAATTTAAAAATGCTTAATTAAAAAGTAAAATTTTACGTAATAAATATACAGTAAAACTGTGTTTATTAATTAATAAAAATAATTGGTTAAAACATTATCCTGTAAAACGAAAGACGAGAATGATAATTGATAACTATTTGAAAAAAAAGATTAAGTTCCTCGTAAAAATCATTATATGTAATTACTGTCAATTATTATAATTGAACTCGTTAGCGCAGAGTAGACATTTCGATGAAAGAATTATTAAACATTTTACTCTTTCGAAATGAAAAAAACACAATTTATTCCACCCCATACTAA